CAAAGCAATATGGACTGACCAGACTTTACTGAAAAATTAGAGTGTCTAAATAAACAAAAATGGAAAAACAAAAATATTTTTGAGCATTATATTAAAGATATTTGTTCCTATAGTCCAAAAAAGAGCGTACAAAGTTAAACTCTTCATAGGGCTTCTTTATGTGAGCATTATCACTTTTTTAGACTTGCCATATCCCCAAGTCTATTTTCCTCTGAGAAGATTCATACTTAGGAAAATCCTATGTGCTGCTTAGGGATCTGTGAACTTTAAGTAAATTGTACACTAGATACAATAAATGGAAGGAACACATTTCCTAATTATGGAATACTCATTGTGAAATATCATGGGGGATTTATGAAGGAGAGCAGCTTCAGTAGTTCTGTTACCTCTCTAAGTCTAGAAGAATATTAAAGGGGAGTGTTTGGGCATCCTAAGTCTGATGTCCTTTAATATTTTCCTGCCAGCATCAGATTAATCTCTGTCTTCTTATTCTTCTGAGTTGGAGCATGACTACTGAAGCTGCTCAAACATACACCTTTAAAAGACTAGCAGCAATTTTCAAATGTACAATGTTCTCACTTGGACTTTTGTTTTTTGAAGTACAGTCCATGACCCAGCAACATTGGCTTTACCTGAAAGTTTGTTCGAAATAAAAATTGTCAGCCTCAACCCCCTTAATTGTAATCATAATCCCCAGGTGGTCTGTTTGCATATTTAAGTTTGGGAAGCCATGATCAAGATCATAGGGCACCAAATCCAAGTGCCTGTTATAGGAGCTAGAAAGATAACACAAGAGAGTGGAATGAATTGGGTATAAAAGACAATAGGGACTGGTGGGGACTATGGCAAACTGGACAGCTCATGCTTGGTATATACAGTACGATTAATATTTAATTTTACAGATTATTGCCATGTGAGTAGGCAGGCTTAGGATGGCTAAAGTCTGTTAGATATTATCAAGAGTCACCAGGTCTGAAGTATGTAGGCAGTATCTCATTATTTTTAACTATTGGAAATAATTTCAATTTATTTTCAATTAATATGAGACCAAATCAGGCATATGAGCTACTATTTGCTAATATCTATTCAAGGCCAATCTTAAAGAAGGTAAATATTTACTCATTTAAAACATATTTTCTCAGAACCCTTTCCACAATTGGATGAATACCCTTTATTGGCATGCTTATTTGTGTCATCACTCCACCACCACCCTTATGCCTTTCTGTTTTCAAACTTATTCCAAGGTGAATTTCAGGCTTCTAACACATGAAATTCCTGCCTTTTGGAGTCTCAGGTCAGAACATATTCTTAGGCAGTTGACATTCATACTTCTCTCTGTAAATAGAGGTGAAGTCAGGATGAGAAAAATTAATAGTCTCATTTCAAAATAATTCCCAAGAATTCCCTGGGCATTGGTAGTTGCCTTTCTATTAATGTTAATATTAATAATATATTGGTCTCTGCAGAGTTTGGGTTATGCATGTAGATTAAAGTTATCTAGAGCAATGATTTTCAAACTGGAATGTGTGTCTGAATCACCTGGAAGTCTTTTTAAAACACAGATTCCTAGGCTTCAACCCCAGAGTTTCTGATTCACTAAGTCTGGGTCAGGGCCTGAGAATTTGCATTTCTTTCTGAGGACAGATACAATGTGAAATAGTCTACTGAGAAGGAAATTTGAGACCAAAAAAGGAAGCAGGCAACTCCATACAGTTTAACAGAGCTTATCAATGGGTAACTTACATACAGGGAGGATCAGTTGATGGCAATCCAGATATTCACACAGTTACTCTCCACACACTTTGTAAGGAGGTAAGCATTTATAAAGGAACTTAAGAACAAATGGTATGTGTCAATATGTTAATGTGGTCAACCTCTGATGTCTTGTGACTATGACATATCTAAAGTCTTGTGATCAGTGAGCATTTAATTTAAGGATACTACCCACATCAATGGCAAAGCTTTGATCTTTATTTTACTTAGTCTAGCTTTTCAGTCATTGTCTTAACTATTCTTGCCTTGCTTCAGATTAATGGATAACTTCCTAGTAAAAAGCCTGTGAGGGGGGTCATAGAAAGGGAAAATAAAGTTAAAGGGATTTGGTATGGCCTGCATTCTCACAATTTCTAACAAGCTTCCAAGAGATGGGCTGATGCTGTTTGTCCAGGGACCACACTTTGAAAATCCCTGACATAGAGGGAAAAGCAGGGCTCTATTTGGCTGGGAATCATTGATGTGATTGTACCAGTCATTAAAATATTGAACCACACAGTTTTCATGTTAAGTGTCCACATACACTACCTGCCACATAGCCTTTCTTGCTCATCTTCCAAGAAACCCCCAACCAGATATTTCTACATTCCACCTGTAAAAGATGCAATAACTGACAAAGCACTTATGGGTACATTCATTGTTATTGGTTTGTCACTTAGTCCAGGTTTATAAGATGAAATCATGGTCAAACATAAAAGATTACTGGAGGTTCAGATTTCATATTTTCAGGCAGAGGTCAAGAAGTCTCCCATAATCCAGGGATTAGCATAGTCTATGGTATTATACAACTTTCCTGCACCTTATAAAATCAAGCTGAACTGACCTTTCTGGTCCTCTGTGATACCTCAGGGCCTTTTCACAGGTGGTTCCTTCTGTCTAGAAAGGGTTTACCCCTTTCTCTTCACTACTTTTTGTTACTTTAAGCTTTAGATTTCTTCAAATATCAGCACTTCAGTGAAGCCTTTCCTTACCTTACAAACTTGACTCAGTTGCTCTCATTTTACACATGATTGCAATAGTAATTAACTAATGGCATAATAAGCTATATTTATTATCTGTGGCACTCCCCGCCTGCCACCCCCTGAATGTAAACTTCCTGAGAGTAAGAAGCTGTGTGGGTCTTCTTCACCTTTTCATCCATAGTGTCTAGGTATTCAGTAATCTTATGTTTAATGACTGCATGAATTCGTTTTTCAAGTCTCAACTCTCAGGTTATGTGTTCTGTGGTGACACCATTTCTAATCACTGCAGGTCAACTTGGAGCCTCTCCCTATGTACTCTCTGAAATGTGTATAAATAAGATTATAATGATTTTCTTGTCATAATGTAATTTTTGATGTATCTATTTCTCTAGTAGTCTCTACTTGAATATGAGGCTCAGTATTTTGTACATTCTTAATAAATAGGAGATTCCTGCTTAGATATTGAACTAAGTATGTATTTATTAAATGAAATATCTGTCCAGAAGTAGTAAAAGTAAATAATAGTTTTAAATAAAATCCCTCATTAACTCTAATAAATGTGTGTTAGACTTGAAACATTTCTTCAAATATAAGTGCAATGTGGGATTTTTTTTTTCTTCAGTTTTCAAAATGTGAGATTTTTAGCTTAACATATGACTAACTGGGCAGGAAAAAACAGATTTTATTTTCATGAAATCTTATTATCAGGTCAGTTCTCAAGGGATGGACTGAGCCAATAAAGTGAAAGATTTATATACCTTGCAATGCTGGGATGGTGTTCATTGTCTAAGAAGTTTAAACCAGCAACTTTCAGTTTTTGCCTCTACTTACATGGATGCCTCATCTCTGCTGTTTCACATAAACAGAAAATCTCTACTTTTGTATTTTATAGATGAGAATTTATTTTCATAGACTTATGATTGCAAAGTGCCTCAGGATAATTGTATCCATAAAACATTAAAGGTCAATAAATGGTGCAATCAAAATTATTTAACACACAGTCATTTATGTGTGTATTTTGTGTGTTTAAATGTGCTGATTAGTGAAAATTTGGGGAAATATTTTATAAACCAGAATAATAAATTCCTAATTCAAATTGTGCCCTCCTATTAAGAGCAGTATTCAGTATAATATAAGTTTTAAAAATCTTGTAAACATGACTTTCATGAAGAATATTTACCTTAAAATGGGTATAACACTTCTTTGAGTCTCAAATTTTTGTTGAACTAATGGATGAAATAACCTTAATTTATCTTTTCTTCCTTATCATAAAGTTTTGTGATTGATGGAGAAAGTATTACCCCATGTCCTTGTTGCTGGAAATGTAACTGGGAATGTTTAAGAATTTGGTTGTAGGGCTTATAGCTGGGCTATATACCTAGACCTTTAAACTTTAACCATTACCCAGCCCAGTATTTTGTATATCTTTAAAAAAATACTCTTTTACTTATCTATTTCTGCATAATGCATGACTTCAAGTCTTAGAGGTTCAAGCAATAATTTATAATTTCATCATGATTCTGAAGATCGAGAGTATGCCCAATGCTTTGCCAGGTTGTTCTTCTGCTCCCAGTGATATAGCAAGTGTCACTTCCTGGACTGCATTCAGCTGGAAGCTCACTTCTAAGGCTGCATTTTATCATCCAGGACCATTCCTTACATGGTTTCTAATCATTCATTAGTGTAGCCTGGTTTCCATTACAGCACCAAATCTCAGCTCTGAGAGAGAATGCAAATGCTGTCAGTTCTCTTATAGCCTACACTTGGAATTTCTGCCACATTCTACTGGTCAAAACAAGTTAGACCCCCACTTCTTGATGGGAAGAGTGACAAGGTATTTGTGGCCATATTTAACCACTACACATACTAAAATAATTGGAATATAAACAAACAATTGCCAATATATATGTGGGTACTTCAAAATGTTCATGGAAAAATGGAATTAAAAGATAATGTGAATCTTCCCATGAATTTTCTGAAGTATCCTCACACTACTAACTCAATTACCATAGGTGGTTTGCATTTTCAGTTAGCTATGTGAAACTTTCTAGAAATGGGAATGTATGAATTATAATAAGTATGAGAAAGAATAGCTTCAGAGGTCATTGATAGTGGGCTTTACTTTCATCCTTCTTAATGTTTTACAAATGTCAAAAATATGTGATTATTAACTTAGAAATGTCTCCCATTTTATCTAGTTATATGTTTAGTAATAAGTAAATTTACTTTAATAGAGACAATAATAGACTTCTTTCAAATTTTCAGCTTACATAAAGTTCTAATGGATCTCCAGAATCAGAAACTGAAAGAATTAAACGACTGGCTAACAAAAACAGAAGAGAGAACAAGAAAAATGGGGGAAGAGCCCTTTGGACCTGATCTGGAAGACCTAAAACACCAAGTACAACAACATAAGGTTAGTATGTTTTATGTTATATGCTTTCCACTATAAAATGAACTCTACCTGTATATGCATATTACATACACACAGATGTCATTGTTTACAGGTAGGAAATAAAGCTTCAAATCAGCCACAGTTTAAAAATAATTTTTGCCTAATATTTTTGGCACCCTTTGATTTTATGGTTTGAATGTGTCCCCTCCAAAATTCAGATGTTGCCAATGTGATAATATTAAGAGGTGGGGTCTTTAAGAGATGATTTGGTCATGAGTGCTCCTCCCTTGTGAAAGGGATTAAACCCTTTCATAAGGCTTCATGTTGCCTTCAGCTATTTTTTTCCCATCTGCCTTCTACTATATGAGGATCCAGCAAGAAGGACTTACAAGATGCCAGCACATTGATCTTGAACTTTCCAGCCTGTAGGAAAATACCACTTTGTTCTTTATAAATCACCAAGTTTCAGGTATTTTTGTTAAAACAGCACAAAATGTACTACAACATTTGTCTTTAAAGAAAAAAATACAACTTAACTAAGCTTTTCATATTAAAGAAAAGAATTTAAACATATTTCTGGAAGAGAACAATGCAGGCTATGTGATTTATTAAAATTTTAGTTTCATGGAAGAGAGCCTCTGTAGGGATTACCTACAATGCAAATTTATATAATAAGACCAAGTTTTTCTTCTATATATTTTTACCTTCGATTCATAATAACTTGGAGCAGAGTATCCTTGATGAAAATTGAGGATTTGTAACAATGCTTTCCTATAAAATATGAAACCTTTTAATTTTAGTATTTTCATTTTTTCTTTCTTCAGCTTATTTATACATTTTCAATTATGCTCCCTGGTTGTGAGACAGCATTTGTTGTTTCTGTGATTGGGACCACCACAAGAATATTTCTGATCTAGAATTATGAGGGTGCTTTATTCTAATAAATGCCTCAACTGTTAAAACTAGCTCTGAGTTTTATTGTTGAAACAGGGTCTTGCCAAGTCCATGAGGACACACACACACACAGAAGAACCTGAAATTCATTTTACTGGGCAAAACTTTTATCTGTCAAGAGTACTCAGGATCTGTGGTTCTTGTATTTATGTCTTTGAAACAGAATATCCACTCCTTCAACTGATACCTCCTAAATCTGCTTTTTACCCAACTTTATTTTCTATTTTTATAACATTTTTTTAGCTCTAGCTTCACAGATTTTTCATACAGATAAAAAACATCCTTTTTTTTCCAAAGTTCCAGTGTTTGTTTTTGTCTTTATTTAATGAGCTTCAGGTTTCAATGACAAATGGGGCCAGCCCATGCTATTACGGCCCCCAAAACAGTCTATTGGCCACAGCAGTTTAAGATCAAGCAGGTAAAGAAAGCTGTAGCTATGGCAATCCCCATCCAGTTAAAAATAAACACCCTTACTTAAAAATAAAATAAAGTATCAACTGTATTATAATTATGACGTAGAAATTGAGATTAAAATATGATTACTTGTCACATAGATTTTACATGAACATTTGACAAAGAAGTTAGATCCAGTGCTAGTTCTCTAATTGTACCACTTTTCCTGCATTAATCATGCACTTCTCTGGAAGGCATTATTCTCTCCTTTTTCTCCTTGGCCTACACTGGAAATTGCATGCAGAGAGTTTCTGTACACACCAATGGCCTCTCTCTTAGGGCATCCCTTGGCCACAGGGGCATCTCAATCAGTTTGAGTGTGGACAAGAAGGGGATGGGCCGGCCCCATGGCTCACTTGGGAGAGTATGGCGCTGGTGGCACCGAGGCCACGGGTTTGGATCCTATATAGGGATAGCTAGTGCGCTCACTGGCTGAGTGTGGTGCAGACAACACCAAGCCGAGGGTTGCGATCCCCTTACCAGTCAAAACAAAACAAAACAAAACAGAAAAAAGAAGGGGAGTTAGTGCTGTCAGATCTGCCCTTAACCACTGAGGGATAGAAGTTGATGAATAAATCCCACAGACTCCTTCTTCCATGGTGGGACAATCCCAAGGTGTCTCAGAAATTTCCCAGCAAAACTAAGCCCCAGATGTTCACAGTGTAACTTGCTTCATATTCCCATGCTGTCATAATGCCTCATGAGATCACCTCCTAAATAAACTATTTGTTCCCAAATCTTTCACTCAGAATCTGGTTTTGTAGAAATTTAACCTAACACAACCTTCTCACCCTGGAAGCGTGAGTTCTATTTCCAGCTCTACCACTAACTAAATTTGTGATTTTCGTAAATCGCTTAATCTCTTAGCTTCTTCATATCTTCACTTTGGAAATAAAACTGTTCAGCAAGTTGGTTTCTACTGCTCCTTTGCAGTCGTGGTTTTAATGTGTTTAATAGTTTTGGAACATGAGGTATTTCAGAAAAAGCAAGACTAGGCTAATGATATCAAACATCAGTAGGCAGGATGCTGGCTCTGGTTTCCTAAACTGTAAAGGGAAGCCAGGAAGGAGGGCTCCAAAAGAGAAGTGGAAGAGGGATGTTAGGGTAGTCATAAGTGTGAATAACTTAGGGCAACTATGAGGAGAGGCCTTAGCTTAGACTGTGAATAGATACTTCATTAAGATTAAACAGGCCATCGCGATCTTAATATTCTGACGATAACCTGAAATGTTTTGCAGTTTCCTCTGGAAGATATAAAGTGAATGAAATGGAAAATATTTTACTAATATTGTCATAAAATTTAAAATGGATCGTCCACTACTTGCTAATATGCAATTTCTGATGAGTATGAAATTGTTTTGCAGAAAATAATTTGAAACCAACTTCTACCTTTAACGGTTTGAACATAACTCAGGACAGATTACTTTTTATAAAATTAGGACAAGGGAAAGATGCATAGTCAAGATAAGGCCTGACAATTGATAATACTCTTTGGTTACTTGGAAGTAATTTTGTTGAGAAGAAAACGATTTAATAAAATCAGACAATTTAAAAAAAGAATTGAGTTTGTTTAAATGTGAGACATGCATATTTTCTCAAAAGTACGCACTAAAAGAAATAATTGTTTTGTTAGTCTTGTCATGCTTTATAAAACAAAAGAAGATAAATATTCTTTCTTTAGGAAACTGAGTTCAATGTAAAGACTCATTTAAATAGTCATTGATTCACTTTGCAGCTTTTCTTCTTAAGAATTGTAAATCAAGGAAAACAAGAACATTTCTCCTCTGACCACAAAATACATCAGTGACCTTGGAGTATTCAAAAAAGCAACTCCCCCTTGCTGTATCATCACACTTCTATCCTAATATATTTAGGATTATTAACCTAATTTAGGTTATTTAGCTTCCCTGAGTCATCCCCATTTTCTTTTTCTTAAAGATGATTACAGATGGCAAAATTTTAAAAAAGGTGCAAGTTCTGTTGCTGGAAATCAACTTAAATTCTGCTCAGATCAGAGGGCATGCACTCTCTGTCTTTCAATTGAAGGGGAAGATAAAAATGTTTGCAAATCTTGCAAGTACACCGTGAATATTAGAGATATGCTTCTGTGTGTTCTGTGACAGGACCCTTTGCTATCTTCATTTGAACAGCGTTTTATTACAAGGCAGGCTAAAAATTCAACCACTGAAATGCCATGAGGATAAGTCACTTTTACTGAAGCTGCCAATTAGGCAAGGTAAAGCAATTAATCCTTTATTGATGGTTACTATTAAATCTAGCCAAACTGTTAACTCTGGGTAAATGAGAAAAGTTCAATTGGCTGCAAAATTTGGAAGAGACCACTCATTCTTCATAGCTATGGCTTTGGAGAGCAAATTTAGAGATTTGCTTTAGATCTGAGGTGCCCAAGCATGGTTCTGTCTGGGGAGTGAACAAATTGAAGTTCTCGTTCCTCTGTAAAGAAACAACATGCCAGAAATAATTCTGGCTGGTCATTTCTGTACTGAGATCGACTTTATTAGTGATGTTGATAAGGAATGAAAGGATTCCCTTTGAATGACTGACCACACTATTGAGTAAAAGCCTGTCATGGGCTTAAGCTTTTACTAATCGGAAGGAAGTCTGCTGTTTGGTAAGGTATTTTCATCAAAAGAAAAATATTTCATTGTAGAATCTTTTGTCTCATGGCACAGACTCGGTTGAAGTTTAAAGCTCAGTTTATTAGCTAGATTTCCAATTATTTTGAGAGATTTAAACATTTGTTGTAAGTCCATCATCTTAGTGACAACATCAACAAAGTCCTTACCACACAAGTTATTAGAATTTGCAGACATAAATGCTGTGTGCGTACTATATATTCTGATATCAGTGAATTTTCTATGTTAAATAGTGATTAGTCCAAATTAAATAACCTGTTAGAGGCTCAGTCACCTATCCTTTCATTGAAGCTTAATTAATCTCAAACATTTGGGTTGCCAGAATTGTGAAATATCCTCATCTGGTGACCTTTAAAATGATCTAGATGTTCATGTAACAGGGAAGGTTTAGGTGTACTCCTGCCAAAGAATCTGACATTTCACTTCTTTCCATTTCATTCTTTTCCATATCACTGAACAAATACTTATTAAAGTACAGTGCTGTGAAGAATACAGAGACCAACCATATATGGAATTTTTCCTCAAGGAGCTCACATTCTAGTGTGTCAAATAAACATAAAAAGAATGGCCATTATTTGTAATAGACTAAAAGGTGGACTGTGTCCAATGACATGAGAGAGTTAAAAATAGTGACTGGTTTGAGCAAAGGGAATGAGTTGGGAAAACATCGGACATGTCATTCACCTGGGTCATGTGCTACAGTAATAATACACCAGCACTATGCTTAGTACTGGAAAATTAAAGCCTGATCACAGAGGGTTTTGTATTGAGAACTCAGGCATTTGTGTTATTCTATGGGTAATAGGGAATCATTACCAAAGAAAAATTAAACTAAAGAGAGCAGCAATTTAGGAAAATGTTTCTTAATTTTTAGAAAGATATGTCTTGTAAAATAAATGAAGCACAGAGAAACAGGAGGTCAGAAGACATGCTAGGAGGATATTGCAGAAAGTAAAT